AAATTTGAAGGCTGAGGAATTATTGAATAAAAGATTTATCGAATGAACGGGAAGAGAATCCAAATTGCAACAAAAACCAAGTTAGCTTGAGATGGTAGAAAGAGTTAGTTGCGTGGCAATGCTGGTGTCGAACCAGTTGATGCAGGATCACAAGCGGGTCTCTGGCGATTGCGTCAGTAGCGCCACTGGCGATTGCGTCAGTAGTGCCACTGGCGATTGCATCAGTAGCGCCACTGGCGATTGCGTCAGTCGCGCCCTGGCGATCGCGTCAGTCGCGCCCTGGCGATTGCGTCAGCCGCGCCCCTGGTGGTTGCGTCAGTCGCTCGAGCCCATGACGATTGCGTCAGCAGCGAGTCTGACGCTTGCGTCAGTCGCGCGACTGACGATGGTGCCGCCAGGTGCGCCAGGGGCGAGTTCGCCTTAGGCTCGCTAGTGGCGGGTTCGCCCTGGGTCGCGCCCTCATTTGATGCGGGTTTGGCGCCGATTTCTTGCCCGCGGGTGTAGTCGCAACTCTCGCCGTCGACGTGAAATCGCGTGGCTTAAACGTGATAAATAACTAAAAACAACTTATCAGAAATTAGTGCCTACTATGCGAGGTTCTAGTGTCAACAGAAATCGAGAGAGAAATGTCACCTGAGTAGTTGGACGAGAGTGGAGTGGAACTGCAAGTTCCAAATGAAGACGTGGGTGGAGGCCAAATGGCCTCCAACCCTCGTTATGTACTCGGCGAATTGTAATTCGCCGTTGCCTTGCTGCGATACAGACAGTTGCGCTTTCACAATACGCATTTTTAGAAAGTGTTACACACTTTCAAAAAATTTCATATTGCAGTTTTTGCCTAAATAGCACTGGGTTTCCAATGATTAACCATCTACATGTTAACATCAGCACAAACAAGCTACGTCTGACGCTATACAGCGATATCACTCCCATCACACAGTCCTTTCTTCATTCAGATGGGGCCTACTACCATTCAGACAGAATGCTATCTACCTACACAGAAGAAGCCCTTCCTCCTACTCCTCGTCCCCAGCATTCCATTCCTCAACCTCCTCTCCGTCAAAGCGGTCGGGGAGCCACCAGTCAGAGCCGGCCTCGCTCCACTCATCTGCATCCCCATCTTCTCCAGCCCCGTACCCTTCCCCATCTCCGTCTTCCGCATCCGCATCCTCTTCGTCCTGCTCCACATGCATGGCGTCGTCGTCCGCCTGCAGCACCTCGGCCGGCACGCGGGCCTCCTCGAAGTAGGGGTTGGGGATGACCTCGTCTTCAACCATCTCGTTCACATCCTCCAGCACTTCCACCTCACCCTTGTCCCGCAGGTGTGCGAGGACGAGGTGGTCTTCGCTGCCGTCGAGCTTGGTGGAAATCCCGCAGGTGACAAAGGACTTCCTGATCAGCTCCTCTGGGACCTCCTGCCAGGACTCGTCGATCCACTTCAGAACCGTCTCCGCGGGAGGCTTTTGCAGATTGCCTGAGGGATGGGCAAGGCACGCACCGAGTTGTTTGATGAAATACACAGGCACGCATGCACAACAACACGATCGGAAAGCAAGGGACCATCTCACCTGCACGCGTCCTCGTGTTGATCCCGATGTCTTCAAACCAAGTGCCATAGCGGTGACGCGAGTCCCTTAGCGCGGTGCTTAAGAAACTGCCGATACACGGCTCGTTCCATGAACGGGTACTTCGCGCGGCGCCCAGCTCCCATGAGGCGACGGCGGCATCCAGAGGCGACCTCCAGACGCTCCTTCATCCGCTTCCACTCGCGGATCTGGCAGGGCTGCACCTTCGCCAGCTTGGCCAAAGCTCGATTTGACAGGTCCGGCTGCGATTCCTGCAGTTTCAGCCAGTGGAGCTTCTCCTTGGCGGTGTACGCATGACGAACACGTTTCGTCATGCGATGACGTGGGGAAGGAGCGTCGGCATCCGCGTTGCGCTTCGGAGGTCCCTGGGGGTGTGTTTGTTCCGGGAAGGAAGGAATCTTCACCTTCGGCAGCGCCGGCATAGGACGGGTCGCGCTGCTGCTCGGTTCATCGTTGGTGGCGCGACTCACGGGGGGTGACGGCTGCAGCAGGACGGGCCGGGGCGAACGCCGTGTGCCCGCGGCAGCGGGTGACTGGGTGACGGAAGGCCGTTGCCGCCTAACCACTGTGCTACTGGAGTCTGGAGAGGTAGCCATCTAAGCCTAGTGAACGTTGGTGTCACAGGCCATGGAATCCCTGAATTTATGCTAGGAAAGGGATCGAGGAGGCAGTTGGTGTTAGCACACTCTGCCGAGCATTGCTCGAGTTCGTGGAATGGAGCTGCTGCACAGAAAGAAGGATGAACTCCTTCTCAGTACAAGGACGTGACCGCCTCAGCGAGGCAGCTGAGGCTGTTGCGGGCGCTCCGCCTTTGTGACTGCATGAATCCTCGTCGAGCGACGAGGGGGTGTGTTTTCTTTCCAATCAGGGCCTGACTGTGGGCCTTGTTGGAGCTTGCAATGTGGCAGCTAACCCACGAGACTAACGTTATCGCCCAGTCCTCGGTTTTGCGCACCCAACCAACAATCTACCACCGCGTCAAACATGTACATTTTGTTCTCAACCTTTTGTGCTCTAAAAAAAATATACATTATGTAACGACCCGGGTGCAATGTAGCTTTTTCCGATGACAAGACCCCCCCCCCCTTTTTTTGTGTAGTTATCATAGCACCCTAGGGTGGTATGTCCGGGGTAATACAGTACCAGATATATATGGAAGGTATGATTGAACTATGATGTCATCTGTACAATCAGCCTGGCAGCTGACCAGATACCTTTCGACACGTATCGGGTTAGCTTCTAGCGCGGTATCTCGCCACCACCACCATCATCCCTCTCATCCCCATCACTTAGGGTTTTCGCCAACAAAACGAAATCCTGGTTTTCGCCAGCCAGCACTTTCGCGCTGGCAAGCCTGGTTAAAAAAAAAAACTTCTGAACCCAACACTGCCAAAAGTTGCCCGTCGCTTTAAGCACATGATAACTCCGTTTTCATCACCATCTTTCACCTGAAAATCCCGAGGTCCGTCAACATCTGATCCATCGTTCCAACAACACCAGAGGTTCCTTGATTCACCTCCGTTGACGGTTTCGCATTGGGACACGTTTCCTATTCGTTTTGTTTCCGTCTTTCTAAGAACGTTTTACGTGTTCTTGAAGTTAACATCTTTCTTCGAAGGAAGGAGAGGGAAAAGTAGCAGAATTCGGGACAGCTGCTTCAGCTTCGACCATGTCGATTCATTTCAAGTTCCGATCTGCGAAGGAGTTTGATTCGCTGGCCATGGATGGCCACTTTATTTCCGTCGCGAATCTTAAGGACCGAATTATTGAGCAGAAAGGTCTCGGAATGGACTCGGATGTCCAGATTTTCGATGCGCAAACAGAGGAAGGTAGGAGATGTTAACGGCACTCGGGATTCCCCCCTATGTGCTGTGTCTTAGATCTAGCTAGTTGATTATTTCGGTTTTGGCCGCTGGCCGATCCATTCTGTTCATATGTTTATTCTTTTTTTTTTTTAATTGAAAGAAATGGAAGGGGGAAGGGTGATGGTTCTGGCCGTTGGTCGACTATTCAGGGTTACATCTGCACGAGACTTCGTGCAGGCAGATTGCTCTTCATTGATTGGTCATCAGGAAATATTGTTCATGAATTTGACTACCACAGTCACGAGGCTGCCTGCCTGGTGTTAGCTCTTGATACTTGGTGGATTTCCACCTTATATCTGGAGACTGGTGCAGCAGCTTACGTCGGCTTCGGGAATGGTGCTGATCAAGAGCTAGACAGAGTTGGACAGAGCTAGTCGGAGCTAGACGAACCCAGACAGAGCTAGACGGAGCTAGACGAGGTTAGAGCGAACTAGTCGGAGCTAGACGGAGCTAGACATAGCTAGACGGAGTTGGACGGAGCTAGACAGAGCTAGAAAGAGCTAGACAAGGCTGGACAGGAGTTGAACAGAGCTAGTCAGTTTTTGACAAAGGTAGCAGATCAAGGCGTGTCGAACCTGTGTTTGTAGCCGTAGATCCTGGTATAGGTAACCAGCCTCCGTTGTTAATATTGGGAAGTAGCACTACCTGTAGATCCACTGGCTCGCACGTAGCGGACAGCTCTTAACGGGAATGAGAGTCAGAGATGCGCACGCTCATACTGGCTCGTAGACCCAGCATACGGATTGGACATTTACAAGGTTGAAAATCCAGCTCTCATCGCCCTTGCAGTTTCATTGGGATCATCCACTATGTTTCCGCACTAATGTGTTTCTGTCTGTCTTGCGGCTTTGACATGTGCTTCCCTTCCGCGAGTATCCGTTCTCGCTTCAACAACCTCTCGGTCCCTGTGTTGCTTTTCCTGTTTCTCTGAATTCGACTCATTGTTTTGTTTCCTGCTTTCTATCCGCCTGCCTGGGATATCCCAGGGAGGTTTGTTAGAGTTGTAGGCTAGGCTCGTTTTTGCGCCTAGTTAGTGGATTCTGGCGCAATTAGTTGTTCATTCATAGCGCTCAGTGGTGCACTGTACCCTGTGGAAATTCAATACTAGATCAGTTGATAGCGCATGGATCCATGCTAGTGCTTGGCTGCATGGGGTTGCAGAGTATGGCGACGACAACCAGCCAGTCCCGCGCAACACCAGCGTCATCATCAAGAGAATTCCAAGATCAAGAGCCCGGGTGGCGCCACAGCCTCAGCAGCAGCCAGATGAGTATGTGCTCACAACCGTTTCCTTGCAGATCTAACTGCTTATTGGGCTTTCAGATCTGATCTGATTTGTTCTGTTCGGCTTTGTTGTTTCCTGTATTTAAAATCTCATTATAGGCAAATTGCAACAGCTGCTGGATGAGTATGCACGCATGCCCTTCAGAGAGTCTGAAACGTCTCAAAACAGCATGCCGCCATTCAAAATCTCGTTTTCAAAATCTCCTCAATTCTCATCAGCCGCCGTATCCACATACCCTCCATCATTGGGGAACTTCTAAAGCATATGTCCGTCCTTGCAATCTGTGCCCCTCTCTTCAGTTTCCGACCTGGCGGCGGTCATGCCTCCGGCGCTGGCGCTCCCTTTGCTTCTGGTGCTGGTGCTGGCGCTGGCGCTGGTGGTGGTGCCGGTGCTGGTGGTGCTGGTGCAGCTACTGCTGTGGCCCAGTCCCAGGCGCAGCAGCAGCAGCACGCGCCCGCTTACCCGGCATACAAGGGTTACAACCAGCAGCTGGTGAGTTGGGTTTAGGGTTTGGGGTTTAGGGTTTAGGTGGGTCAAGCCGTCAAGGTGGTGGTTCGAATGGGCCAGTCAGTCGACTCAAAACTTTGGCGCAGCAGCAGCAGCAGGCGCCCGCTTACCCGGCATACAAGGGTTACAACCAGCAGCTGGTGAGTTGAGGGTCAAGCTGTCAAGGTGGTGGTTCGAATGGGCCAGTGAGTCGGCTCATAACTTTGGCTCAAAGACAGCCGGACCCTCTTACCTGGCGTACAAGCGGCTAGAACCAGCAGCTGATGAGTTTCAGGTCAGGGGAAGGTTGTGTTATGAGACGTCTAAAATGCAGGTGCAGCAGCGGCAGCCAGCGGCCTTGTACCAGGCGACAGGGATGACAACAGCAGCTGATGAGCTGTGGGTACATGTGCTGGTCTGAGAATGCGCATAGGTTCAGTTTTCAGAGGTGTACTTAAGTTGTGAGGCTTTCAGTGTTGTAAGCGATTGGGGCTCTGGTAGCATGTCAGGTTCTGAAGCAGCTCACCTCTGCTTTCTTTGTTTTCTCGCATATGTTCCTTCTTGCCCCGTCAGAATGACATGGACGGCATGATGGATGACCTGGCAGACATCTACGGTGATGTCGGCGGCCACGTGTCCATGTCTGCCGCGTCAGGCCCTGCTGCCACGTCAGCAGCCCCGCCCACCAACGCCATGGGCGCGTCAGCGGGAGGGGGAGCGCTGGGCGCCACAAACGGCCAAGGGGGCCCCGGGATGGGGGCAGGGGGAGTGGGGCAAGGCGGGGAGATGGCGGGAGGAATGGGGGCCATGGGGGCCATGGCGGGCGTGGGGGCGAGTGTGCAGGAGCAGGTGGATGAAGAGACGCGCATGATGTCTGCCATTGTGGATCAGGCCACCACGGACTGGCAGAGGTGAGCGCGGAGGGCGGGTTATGGGAGGAATGGGGAGCATGGGGGCGTGTTGGGCATGGGGAGCATGGGGGCATGTGGGGCATGAGGAGACGCGCATGATGTCTGCCATTGTGGACCAGGCCACCACGGACTGGCAGAGGTGAGCGCGGAGGGCGGGTTATGGGAGGAATGGGGAGCATGGGGGCATGTGGGGCATGAGGAGACGCGCATGATGTCTGCCATTGTGGACCAGGCCACCACGGACTGGCAGAGGTGAGCGCGGAGGGCGGGTTATGGGAGGAATGGGGAGCATGGGGGCATGTGGGGCATGAGGAGACGCGCATGATGTCTGCCATTGTGGACCAGGCCACCACGGACTGGCAGAGGTGAGCGCGGAGGGCGGGTTATGGGAGGAATGGGGAGCATGGGGGCATGTGGGGCATGAGGAGACGCGCATGATGTCTGCCATTGTGGACCAGGCCACCACGGACTGGCAGAGGTGAGCGCGGAGGGCGGGTTATGGGAGGAATGGGGAGCATGGGGGCATGTGGGGCATGAGGAGACGCGCATGATGTCTGCCATTGTGGACCAGGCCACCACGGACTGGCAGAGGTGAGCGCGGAGGGCGGGTTATGGGAGGAATGGGGAGCATGGGGGCATGTGGGGCATGAGGAGACGCGCATGATGTCTGCCATTGTGGACCAGGCCACCACAGACAGGCCGAGGTGAGCTGCTTGCCTTCCCGCCTGCCTGTCTGTCTAGCTGCCTTCCTGCTCGGCAGTGTGCAGTTGGTTTTGCTTGCCACTCGCGTGGCAGAGGTTATTCTAGAGATGCTTTTGCAGGGGGGCGTGGCGGGGACGTGGCCACATGTGTGAGTCTATTTGAATTTGTTTTTTTGTTTTGTTTTTTTTTTCCAAACGTTTTCCTCCTCTCCTCTTCTGAGTGCTGATGCAGGCCTCCAGATCAGTTTGGGGGCCGTGGCTACGGCCGAGGAGGATTCTACGGCAGAGGAGGTGGTGGTGGTACGTATCATGCCCAAAGCAATCTTCTTTAATGCAGTTCAAAGCAATGCAATTATGCTATTATAGAATATTTTCCCCCAGAGAAGCACTTCGATCATGCAAAAGCTGTTTTTTCACATGCAATATGGAAAGATGGATCTGAAAGCCACTGTTTGGGATCTGTATGTGCATGTATTCAGCTTGGGACTCGTGTCTTTTTCTCTGCTCTGCAATTTTGTGGATGTGACTGTGTCTGTGCGCATGTAACTGTGTGCATGTGACTGTGTCTGTGCGCATGTAACTGTGTGCATGTGACTGTGTCTGTGCGCATGTAACTGTGTGCATGTGTCTGTGTCTGTATGTCTGTGAGTGTGTGTCTTTGACTGTGCATGCGATTGTGCATGTGGCTGTGTGCATGTGACTGTGTGCATGTGACTAATTGTTTTCAGGGCGCTTTCCCTTTCCCCAACGAAATGCAGTTCCACATCCCGGTTACATCTGCTACCGCTGCAATAAACCAGGTATGTTTTCGAGACAATTCAGTACCAGTTATATCTGCTACCATCTGTTACCGCTGCAACGAACCAGGTATGGCAGAAGGAGCTCGACGTGATCGCTTGCACTTGCTGCTGTAAGAGTTTAAGAGCAGCGAGTCTTCACCTCATGCCCTTTCCTCATGCCCTTTCCTCTCAAGCCTTTATCCCTCTGGGTCACCGCACTAAGCACTGTCCCACCAACCAACGTCGATTCAGCATTCGACGTGATGGGGCGGCTGCGAATCCCCCTTCCTACATAATCCAAGTGCAAGTCACTGTTTCCCCCCTCCCCTTTCCCTTCTTCTCCTCCAGGTCACTACATCAAGCATTGCCCCACCAATGGCGATCCAGCGTTCGACGTGTTGAGGCGGGTGCGTGAGCGACCCCCCTCGGGCATCCCTCCAAGTGAAGTCTCCTCCACCCCTCCACCCCTCCCCTTCCCCTTTCCCTTGTCTTTCCAGGTCACTACATCAAGCACTGCCCCACTAACGGCGATCCAGCGTTCGATGTGGTGAGGAGGGTGCGACCCCCCTCGGGCATCCCCAAAAGCTTCCTACGGCCAGACCAGGGAGGGGGCTACCTCATGCCGGATGGGTCCATGGCTTCTATGGGCGCGCAACACGACATGCAGCAAGGCAACGAGTGAGTCGTGTGCGGGTGGATGGGTGTTTCCTGTCTCTGTCACGGGCACATCATCTGTGTGTGAATGGCTGCATGTTGTTTGTATCTCTCCATCGGACCAGGGAGGGGGTTACCTCATGCCGGATGGGTCCATGGCTTCTATGGGGGCGCAGCACGACATGCAGCAAGGCAACGAGTGAGTCGTGTGCGGGTGGATGGGTGTTTCCTGTCTCTGTCACGGGCACATCATCTATGCGTGAATGGCTGCATGCTGTATCTCTCCATCGGACCAGGGAGGCGGCTACCTCATGCCGGATGGGTCCATGGCTTCCATGGTCGCACAACACGACATGCAGCAAGGCAACGAGTGAGTGGCTCTTTTGTGTGCTGTGATTTTGTGCTGTGGGAGCCAGGGAAGTCAGTGGTCTAATAATGAAAACAATAATTAAAGTCAGCAATAATCGGACGAACCCCCCGTTGTTACCCTTTCCCACTTCTTTGACCACCAGGCAAGCCTTTGCAAGGGAGACAGAGCCGTTTCTCGCCCCCATGTGGCAGCCGCAGGCAGCAGAGGTCCCTCCGGAGCTCAAGTGCCCCTTGCTGCCACGACCCTTCGTTATCCTCATCCGCCTCATCCGTCTCTCGTCTCTCCCGTTCATCCACCAGGCAAGCCTTTGCCAGAGAAACGGAGCCTTTTCTAGCACCCATGAGGCAGCCCCAGGCTGTGGGGTTCCTTCCAAAGCTCAAGTGCCCCTTGTTGCCACAACGTTTCTCATTCAGCGATTCGTCTATAACTTCTTTTAACTCTCCCATTGCTCCTTTCCATCCACCAGGCAAGCCTTTGCCAGAGAAACGGAGCCTTTTCTAGCGCCCATGAGGCAGCCCCAGGCAGCGGAGGTTCCTCTGGAGCTCAAGTGCCCGCTCTGCTCCTCGCTCTTCCGCAATGCGGTGCTCATCCCCTGCTGCCACCTCTCCTTCTGCGATCACTGTGAGTGGCGAGCGGGTGTAGTGTAGTGGTGTGACAACAGTGTCAGTGGCAGGTGGGTGCATTTGTGTGGATGCGGCATGGCAGCAGGGCGAGTGGTGCTCATCCCCTGCTGCCACCTCTCCTTCTGCGACCAGTGTGAGTGCTGCATTGTGGGTGGGTGGGTGGGTGTGTGGGGTGGGCAACAATGAGTGGGGGGTGGGCAGCAGACTCTCTGGAGCTCAAGTGCCGGCTCTGCTCCTCTCTCTTCCGCAATCCGCTGCCCTCATCCCTGCTGCCACCTCTCCTTCTGTGACCACTGTGAGTGGCGAGCGGGTGTAGTGTAGTGGTGTGACAACAGTGTCAGTGGCAGGTGGGTCCCACCAGAGCTCGAGTGCCGGCTCTGATCCTCTCTCTTCCGCGATGAGGTGCCCTCATCCCTGCCGCCACCTCTCCTTCTGTGACCACTGTGAGTGGCGAGCGGGTGTAGTGTAGTGGTGTGACAACAGTGTCAGTGGCAGGTGGGTCCCACCAGAGCTCGAGTGCCGGCTCTGATCCTCTCTCTTCCGCGATGAGGTGCCCTCATCCCTGCCGCCACCTCTCCTTCTGTGACCACTGTGAGTGGCGGGTGGTTGTGTGTGTGTGGCAGGGTGAGTGAGTGATGTGTATATGGCAAGGCATGGCAGTAGGGTGGGTGTATGCGGTAGAGAGATTTGTGTATGTGGGATGGGAGCGTGCGGCCGTTTCCATGCGGCAGTCAAACGGGGTTGACCTCCGTCCAGAGCTCAAGTGATTTTTGAGGCGCCTAAAAAATCACCTCAATGCTCGCGGTATGCATAGCAGCATAGTAGCATGCGGCCGTTTCCATGCGGCAGTCAAGTGTGGTTGACCTCCCTCCAGAGCTCAAGTGCCCGCTCTGCTCCCCCCACCAGGCATTCGGCAGCAGTTGTTGGCCAAGGGGAGCTGCCCAAGTGCTCGTCCAGCCAGCGTCCAGCCAGTACCGCAACGATGATCTCCTGCCCAACATGACCCTCCGCTCTCTTTCCCTCTCCTCCCACCTCCAGGCATTCGGCAGCAGCTACTTGCAAAAGGCAGCTGCCCCAAGTGCTCGTCCAGCCAGCGTCCAGCCAGTACCGCAACGATGATCTCCTGCCCAACATGACCCTCCGCTCTCTTTCCCTCTCCTCCCACCTCCAGGCATTCGGCAGCAGCTACTTGCAAAAGGCAGCTGCCCCAAGTGCTCGTCCAGCCAGCGTCCAGCCAGTACCGCAACGATGATCTCCTGCCCGACATGACCCTCCGCTCTCTTTCCCTCTCCTCCCACCTCCAGGCATTCGGCAGCAGCTACTTGCAAAAGGCAGCTGCCCCAAGTGCTCGTCCAGCCAGTACCGCAACGATGATCTCCTGCCCAACATGACTCTCCGACAAGCTGTTGATCGCTTCAAGGCCGCACAGCTGCAGCCTGGGGTTCAGGCGCAGGGGCAGACGGGGCAGCAGGGGCAGGGGCAGCAGGGGCAGATGCAGCAGGGACAGATGCAGATGCAGCAGGGGCAGACGCAGCAGGGGCAGATGCAGCAGGGACAGATGCAGATGCAGCAGGGGCAGACGCAGCAGGGGCAGCAGGGGCAGATTCAGCAGGGGCAGACGCAGCAGGGGCAGCAGGGGCAGATTCAGCAGGGGCAGATGCAGCAGGGGCAGACGCAGCAGGGGCAGATGCAGCAGGGGCAGATTCAGCAGGGGCAGATTCAGCAGGGGCAGATTCAGCAGGGGCAGATTCAGCAGGGGCAGATTCAGCAGATGCAATTTGGGGTTCAGTCGCAGGGGCAGGTGCAGCCTCCGCAAACGCAGCAACAGCAGCAACAGCAGCAGCAGCAGCAGCAGCAGCAGCAGCAGCAGCAGCAGCAGCAGCAGCAGCAGCAGCAGCAGCAGCAGCAGCAGCAGCAGCAGCAGCAGCAGCAGCAGCAGCAGCAGCAGCAGCAGCAGCAGCAGCAGCAGCAGCAGCAGCAGCAGCAGCAGCAGCAGCAGCAGCAGCAGCAGCAGCAGCAGCAGCAGCAGCAGCAGCAGCAGCAGCAGCAGCAGCAGCAGCAGCAGCAGCAGCACTGGCAGCAGCAGCAGCCACAGCAGCAACAACAGTGGCAGCAGCAGCAGCCCCAACAGCAGCAGCAGCAACAGCAGCAGCAGCAATACCAACAGCAGCAACAACAGCAACAGTACCAACAGCAACAGCAGCAGCAACAGTACCAACAGCAACAGCAGCAGCAACAACAGCAACAGTACCAACAGCAACAGCAGCAGCAACAACAGCAATACCAGCAGAACCAGAAGCAGCAGCAACAACAGCAATACCAGCAGCAGCAAGCGCCTTCTGGTGCCAAGCAGGCTGCAGGGGGGAACAAATCGGCTGGCAGTGGCACAGGCAGTGAAGCTGGTGTAACAGCAGGCGGAGCAGCACAACAGGCAGGCAGAGCGACAGAGGCAGGCAGAGCAGCACAGGCTTCTAGTGCGTCTAGGGGCGTTACTCCTCCTGGCAACGTTAGCAAAGCCGCAGGACCGTCAGGTGTTAAACAGACCGTTCCTGCTGCTGCTCTTGCTCCTGCTCCTGCACCTGCGTCTGCTGCGGCTGCTGCTGCTCCGGAGGAAGAGCATAGTGCCGCATCAGGAAGTAGAAAGCCCAGGCGCCTTCCTGCTGGCCCCGCCGCTGCAGCTGTTGCTACCACTTCTGCTCCTGTCACCCCCGCTGCTGCTACTGCTTCTCCTGCTGCTTCTGGCAGCATAGGGGCGAACAAGCGTGTGGGTAAGGCTGCTGTTCCGACCTTGGGAGTTGGTGGTGCTGTTAGTGCTGCTGGTCCGAGGGAAGGGCGGGACGTGGAAGGGGGAGGCGGAGGGGAAGGGGATGGGGCCCAGGATGGTGCGATGGAGGGAGGAGAGGAAGGGGGAAAGGATGGGGTGGAGGGGAGGGAGGAGGAAGGGGGAGAGGTGGAGAAGCAGCAGGAAGGGGGAGAGGAGGAAGAAGAGGAGGAAGAGGAGGTGAGTGATGGTGTGACAGGGCCTGCTAGCACCACCCGTCCTGCTGCTGATGGCGTTGGTGGTGATGGTAGTGCTGCTGCTGGTGCTGCTGGTGGTGCTGATGGTGCTGGTGGTGCTGATGGTGATAGTGCTGATGGTGGTGGTGATGGGGATGGTGACACTGCTGCTGCTGATGCAGCGGTTGTCACTCCTGAGGGTGACAGTACTGGGGGTGCTTATGCTGAGGGCGAAGGGGACGTGACTGGAGGAGCAGGAGGGGAAGGAGGGGAAGGGGATGGTGCGGAAGGGGAAGTGGAAGGTGGGGAGGAAGGAGGCGAAGGGGGAGAGGGCGGAGGTGTGGAAGGAGGGGAATGGGGAGTGGAAGGAAAAGGAGGGAAAACGGGGAAGGAAAAGAAGGTCAAGGGGAAGAAGAAGAAAAAGAAGCTCAAACAGAAGCATCAGGAGCAGCAGCAGCAAGAGCAAGAGCAGCAGCAACATATGGATGGGCAAATGGGGACAGCAATGGGTCAAGCAGGAGCAATGGGGCCGATGGGTGGGGGGCAGATGGGGCAGATGGGGCAGATGGGGCAGATGGGCGGGGGCCAGATGGTTCCGCACATGGGAGGCCCTATGGGGGGGAACATGGGAGGAAACATGGGGGGGAACATGGGGGGGAACATGGGGGGAAACATGGGCGGAAACATGGGGGGGAACATGGGGGGAGGGCCAATGGGCAAGGGAATGGGGATGGGTTCTGACATGGGAGGCATGGGCGGAGGTATGGGCGGAGGCATGGGCGGAGGCATGGGCGGAGGTATGGGCGGAGGCATGGGACCTGGGATGGGGGGAGGCATGGGGCCTATGGGGGGACCAATGGGGGGACCAATGGGGGGGCCTATGGGGGGGCCTATGGGGGGGCCCATGGGCGGACCCATGGGCGGCCCTATGGGTGGCCCGATGGGTGGGGGAATGGGACCTGGGATGGGGCCTATGGGGGGGCCTATGGGGGGGCCTATGGGGGGGGGGATGGGCGGACCTATGGGGGCCCCTATGGGGGGTCCGATGGGTGGTCGTATGGGCCCTATGGGGCCTATGGGCGGACCTATGGGGGGTCCGATGGGGGGACCTTTGGGGGGGCCTATGGGGGGACCGATGGGGGGGCCTATGGGGGGACCAATGGGGGGAGGGCCACATATGGGAGGGCCGGATCATTTTCACAACCAGCAGCGAGGCTGGCATGGTGGTAAGTCCCCTCTTTGCCTTGTAATCGCTTGCTCTTCCATTTTTACCTAAACTTGGCTGTTATTGAGGCGCCTAAAAAGTCAAATCGGCTTTTATTACCTTTTTCCTGTTTTTTTTCCGATTCTTTTTGCTCTTCCAATCGCTCATTTCTCTGCTCGCACCATTTTCTCTTCACTCTCTGCCCCCCACGCTCTCTCCCTTCTCCCCTCCGCTCTCTCCCCGCTCTCTCTCTACCCCCCCTCTCCCCACACTCATTCTCCCCATTTTTCTTCCCCCCTCTCTCCCTCCTCCCATACCTTCCCCGTATGTCCGTGCTTGCATGGAACCAGATCATATGGAGCAACACGGCATGGGTGGGCCCAAGAAAAAGGTATGTGTTTTCTTTTTGTTGCCTTTCTGTCACCTCCTATACCTTCTCCATATGCCCGTGTGTGGGTGGTAGCAAATCGTATGGATAATGGAACCAGCATGGCATGGGTGGGCCCAAGAAAAAGGTGTTTATTCTTTTCCCTTTCGTAGGCTTTAAGTTTTGGGCACACAGCATGCAAGCCTACCAGCATGGAAGGATGAGAGAGCCCACCACACGTAGACCTTTGAGTCGACTCAAAAGTCAACTTTTCGTAGGCTTTAAGTTTTGGGCACACAGCACAGCCTGCAAGCCTACCAGCATGGAGGGATGAGAGAGCCCACCACACGGAGACCTTTCTCTACTCTGCGAGAGCACACCGCACAGAGAGTCTCTGACTTTGAACTCTGCCTCGTGTCTCTTCCCCCTCCCTCCACCACAACTGTGCATGCTACACGTGTGGAGCCACGGACTACATGATGGGGGACTGCTTCCCTTCCCTCCTCCTTGCACTTGTAACCGTCGACTTCTCAAAGTGCCTCGTGTCTCTTCCCCCTCCCTCCACCACAACTGTGCATGCTACACGTGTGGAGCTACTGACCACATGATGTTTAACTGCTTCCCATCCCCTCCCTCCTTCTTACACTCCCCGTCATCTCTACACCCTGCATTTCATCCCATCCCTCCATCCAGCAGGACCGTGCGTGCTACACGTGTGGGCCTAGTTTTGAGTCAACTCAAAACATTTCATCCCCTCCCTCCATCCACCAGGACCGGGCGTGCTACACGTGTGGGGCCAAGGATCACATGATGCGGGACTGCACCATTCACCTTCCCCTCCTGCTTACACTCTAAACCGTCATCTAAACACCCTGCCTTTTGTCTCCTCCCCCCTCATCAGGATCGTGCGTGCTACACGTGTGGGGCCAAGGATCACATGATGCGAGACTGCCCTCATGGCAACAACATGGGGGGGGGCATGGGCGGAGGGATGCGGGGAGGCATGGGCGGGGGAATGGGCGGAGGCATGGGCATGGGCATGGGCATGGGAGGTGGAGGCATGGGTATGGGCATGGGCGATGGTGGCAACTTCAACGGTCCTTTTCCGAACCAACCTGGAATGTTCCCCGGCCCAGGTATGACCTTTGCTGGGTCAGGTACGGTCCTAGGTGGTTCCGGTGTGGTGGTGAGCTTGTAGCACTTCTCATAACTATGGTATAGGCTTAGCTGGCTCACATATGAGCCTGTTTTGTGCCCCTAGCGGTGATCTTTGAGGCGCCAAAATATATATGGTATAGGCTTAGCTGGCTCACATATGAGCCATGTCTTGTGCCCCTATCCTGTGCTCCTGTCCTTCCCCTCCCCGGTGGCAGAGTTCGGATGGAACCAGGGCATGGGTCCCAGTATGGGAGGCGATTTCAACATGGGGCCTGGCTTTGGGGGCGGGGGCATGGGGGGAGGCATGGGCGGGGGGATGGGCGGAGAAATGGGAGGGCCTGGCATGGGCATGGGAGGTCCAGGGATGGGGGGAGGAGGCATGGGGATGGGACCTATGGGCCCTGGAATGGGAGGAGGAATGGGCATGGGTCAGGGCATGGGTCAGGGCATGGGTCAGGGCATGGGGCAAGGATTTGAGGGAGGAGGGGGACATCAACAATTCGGTCCTGATGGGTGAGTGGGTGTGTTTCCATGAGTGTATCTTTCCTGTGTCAACTTATAAAGAGTAAGATATAAGCCATGCTCTAATTGTCAATCCATTCATCTGCCTAAGCTATGAGGATGACGCTTATGATTGTTTTCTGTTCCCCATGTCTCCTTGCGCTTGCTTATGTCTCACTCTTTCCCTTTCCCGTTCCTCCATCCTGATTCCGCCTCACTCCCCTTCCTCCTCCCTCCACCCCTCCCATTGTTTTCTGACATTTTCTGAAAAACCTTCTTCTCAGCCTGCTTGTTCCTCCCTTTGAGGCGCCTCAAAAGTCGTCTCCTTTTGTTTTCTGACATTCCTCAAAAACCTTCTTCTCAGCCTGCTTGTTCCTCCCCCAGCTCTCTCTGTTTTCTTCTCCCACTCTTCCCCTTTTCTTCACCTTGCCAGCACTCCCCTGACTGATTGCAGTGGCTCTGGCCCATTCAGGCGCGGAGGTGGGGGGAGGGGGAGAGCTTTGAGGTGTCCCAACACTTCCATTCATTTGCCCCTGTTTCACCTCTCCCACTTTCCCCCGTTCCCCCTTTTTCTCACCTCTCCAACCCTCGCCCCTTTGACTGATTGCAGTGGCGCTGGCCCATTCGGACGTGGAGGTGGGGGAAGGGGAAGAGGCGGAAGGCTTGGGGGTAGAGGGGGAAGAGGCAGGGGCGGAGGGGGGAGAATGGGCTTTCCCGACAGGGGGGGTAGGGGGGAGAGGGGGGATTGGAGGGGGAGGGATGAGATAGCGGAACGTGAGGGAGAGGGAAGAGGAGAGAGGAGGCAGCGGGGGAGAGAGAGGGAGGAGGAGGAGTGGGGAAGTGAGGAGAGGGGTGTGGGGAGGGGAGAGGGCAGGGGAGAGGGGAGGGGAGAGCGAGCAGGCAGCATGCAACGAAACACCCCTTCAGTGCAGCAGGAGTCTGAAGGAGGGGAAAGCAGGGAGAGAGGCGGGGAGAGGAGGAGAGGAAGCAAGGAGAGGAGGAGGGAGAGAGGGGAGGATGAGGAGAGGGGCAGAAAGAGGAGCAGGGAGAGGGGGGAGGAGAAGGGAGAAGAGGGGAGGCCGTATGGTTTGAATGAAGGGGAGGAGGAGCATGTGGAGGGAGACGAAGCAGGGAGGATGAGAAGGAAGCGACCGATTGGCGAGAGGTGAGGGGCTCTGATGAGAGGTTAGGGGTGGTGGCGAGAGGTGAGGGGTGTTTGTGAGAGGTGGGAGGTGGTGATGAGAGAGAGGTGAGGGGTTGGAGATGGATGAGAGTTAATGAGGTGATGTGGGAACATGGGTGAGTGAGGAGATGATAATGTGATTAGATGGACTCTAATCTTCACCTCTAGTCTTCACTGTGCTTACACCCATCCCCATCCCCGTCCCCCCACATAGTTCCGGCACCACCATCCATCCCCATTCCCAATCCAACCAACTGCATACCCACTCCTCATGCCCATACCCATACCCCTGTACACTTTATATTCCTTCACTGCCCTCCTAAGCACTTATCCAACACTCTTCTCGCCATCCCTTTGCCCATCCCCATGCCCACCCCCATCCCCATCTGCATCTCTGTTGTTGCCTGCAGGCTCAACTTCTCTGCTGCCAGGGAGGGTGAAGGGGGCAGCAACTTTCAGGTAAGGTGCTGTTCGATGATGCATTCTTGAAGCGCCTTCAGATAAAAGACGACCTTTCAGGCAGTGTAAAGGTTGAAAGAGGCACCAGCTTTGAGGACGCGTTTTGATTGAGGTGCTGTCAGAGGAAGCATTCTTGAGGCGCCTCTGAAATTGAGGCGAAGTTTCATTCAGGCGTCGAGATAAGATGACCCTAAAAGTTTGATCAGATAAGACAGCTTTTTATTCAAGTTGCATGTGACTTGATTCTCTGGTCGCATGTGTTAATTTGCCTGGTTGAGATTGCAAACAAAACTAACAATGCTCGTCCGCTGTTTTCTTGTTCCCCAACTTTCATCAGCAGAAACAGTCGGAGGGACGGTGGCAGGGAGGAAGGGAGGGACACATGGGGGTGAGGGGAGAGGAGAGGGGAGCAAGGGAATGGGGAGAGAGAGGAGGAGGCAGAGGAGGGATGGGGGGGAGGGGTGGGGGACCATGGCAGGGGAGGGGAAGGGGATCACGAGGTGATTGGGATGGGGATGGGGATAGGGATGGGGATAGGGATGATCGTGATGGTGATTGGGGGAGTGGAGAGGAGGGGAGTGCTGCAGCAGGTGATAGAGCACGGGAGTATCGAAGAGGGGATGGTACTGGGGGAAGAATAGGTAAGGGTAAAAATCGGTACCGAGGGGAGAGTGAGGGAGAGGAGGACAAGGAGGTGGAAGGGAGAGGGAGGTCCCGGGCTGCTAAGGAGTATGGTTATAACGAGGATGAGGAAAGCGGTGGGAGGAGGAGGAGGAGGCATAGGTTCAAGGATCAAGAAGAGGAGGAGGGGGGGAGGTGGGAGAGAGGATCAAGAGGGATGCAGAAGGAGGAATGGGAAGAGGAAGGGGATGATGATAATGGGGTGGGGGAAAAAGCAGGAGCACGAGGGAAGGAGAGGAAGAGAAGGGGGCGGAGCAAGGGGGTGGGAGAGGGGGAGTGGGAAGAGGATGCGGTGGATGGTGCTGCTGCTGTTGGTGCTGTCGAGGATGGGAAGCAGGAGAAGAAAAAGAAGCTAAAACGAGCGCGGAAATATGAAAATGGTGGTGATGGGGGAAGAGGTGGGATGGGTGGGGGGGATGATGTGACAGAGGGTTTGGGAGGAAGTCTTAGGATATATGCTGGAGATTTTAATGATGATACCAAGGGAGATGACCATGATAGATGGCCGTTAGAGCATGGAATGTAACATGTGAATGCTTGATTTGCCTTTTCCAACTTATTGGTGGTGATTGTTCAGAAGCTGGTACTCATGACACTTGACAGTCAACTCGAGTGGTACTACAATATTCCATGCACTGATTTCATTTGTGTCTCTTCCTAATGTTTCTTAAATAGTAGAATTACTGCTGCACAGTAAAGTGCTCTACAAGTTTCATATTTCAGATTTCCACATCGCATGTGTCCAAGCTTATTGAGAGATCCAAAGATAGCAGACATTCCTATGTTCGCAGTGTAACACTTTCATATTTTGAAACTTCAAAATTGTGCCTGAAGAATCGCTTTCCCGCCGTTTCTGTCAGTAAGAGCAAAAACCTTGTGCGCGTCAAACCCGCAGGGAGCTGCATGTTTTTCAAAACGGTTTCATTGAGTTACGATCTGGTTCAGTGTGGTGAAAGTGTGCAAGACACAATCTAGGCTGGGACAGGACTCCGAAGCATACCTGCACGGATGGTTATGTCAGGTTCTGGAGCATTAGTTTACTGCAAGGTTTTCTGGCATCTCGTGTTGCCGCGCAGTAACTGGTTGCAATAAGCTGCTCCTAGAGATATTATGACAACAACAGTGCGCGTCCAACAAGCTACGGGTTTTCGTTTTTCTCGAGAAATTTAAGGCCTGCGATCGGTTTTCAGCAGTTTATTACGCCAGTCTACCGGCGTTACCGCTTTACTATCATCTAATACATACCCAGCTGCTCTGCACAGCCACGACTCGCAACAACGCACTCCGGAACCTCGATTCGCTAGTTTACTGGTTGCGCAGCCGGTTAAGAGAGTCTCTTTGCTAAGTGCGGGTCCGGAGATGGTGCAGAAAAGGCAGCGGGCAGAGGGAGAACCGAGCAGACGGAAGTCGCCTCGCTTCGCGGCTGCGGAGAACCCTGTGAAAGAAGATGAGGAAGATCCGACGGCCTCCGATGAGAAGAACAAGGAATCTACGGCTGGCGATGAGGCAAATCCGAAAGATCTTTACGCGGTAAGTTTCTCAGCAGAGCCATACCTTACAATTCGTTTTCATCGCATTTCTTCGTTTCCACTGAGTACGTTTGGCATCGCAGGTGCTGGGAGTGAATCGCGACGCGACGCACGCGGAGATTCGCAAGGCGTATCACCGCATGGCGCTTCGGCTGCATCCCGACAAGAACCCGGGCGATGCGGTAGGGAAGGGAGGAGGTGGTGGGGGAGAGGAGAGAAGAGGTAGGAAGGAGCGTGCTGATTCACGGTGGGTAACTCCCGGAAGTGTGATGCGCTTCGGCTGCATCTTGACAAGAATCTGGGCAATGGGGTAGGGAGGAGGAGGTGGTGGGGAAGAGGAGAGAAGATGTAGGGAGGTGTGTGCTGGTTCACGGCGAGTATCTCCTCCAATTCCCCAACCATCAAACCTTTTTAACCATCTGATTCCCCGACCATTCAAACTTTCAACAATCCACCTCTCAACAATCCAACTAACCTCCAACTCCCCGTGTCTCTCTCAGACGGCCAAGGAAAGCTTTCAGGCGCTGCAGCGGGTGTTTGCCTTTCAGGCGCTGCACTCCAAACCATCCTCCCCCCCACTCCCTCCTCTTCCCCTCCCCCGACCCTTGTCTGTCTCCCCCAGGCTGCCAAAGAGCGCTTTCAGGCGCTGCAGCGGGAGTTTGCAGTGTTGGGGGACCCTGAGCGACGGAACATATCTTATCGTTCGCCCTCTCTCTCCTCTCCCCTCCCCCCTCTCTCCCATCCCCCTCCGTCTCCCCCAGACGGCCAAGGAACGCTTTCAAGCGCTGCTGCGGGTGTTTGCAGTGTTGGGGGACGCTGAGAGGCGGAAGGTGTATGACGAGACTGGCTGCACCGGCGATGGGGACGGCGAGGATGGCACTGTGAGTGGCACTGACTGGTTCCTCTGTACCGCTGAGCCAGTCTGTTTGGCGCTTGTTTTCTGTCCCATGCGCATGTGGCGTTTTACAATGCTTCGCCTTATCACGCATGCAGCCCTTGGGCGTCCTTATTTCTTTCCGTGATTTAAAGAAAAAGAGCCTTGTCGTGAATAATACTTTATGTGCTGCTGCTTGTTCGCAGGGTCTCTCGGGCAACACAGTTGCAGACCTTTACAAGTTCTTCCGAACAATGTACAGTGAGGTGAGAGAAAGACGGGACATTGATGTGAGAATGAAATTGCCCTGTACACACTGCTTGGTTTACCATGGGGTACATGTATGCTTTGGGTGACCAGGGTCTTTCAGCGAACACATTGTTCTTTGGACCAGGGTCTTAACAAGTTCTCCCTGAAAAATGTACAGAAACTAGGTAGCAGGAGGCTACCGATGTGATGGTGTCTTGTGCGATCTCTCCTGCCTCTCACTCCTCTCTTCCCCCTACTTCACTCCTTTCAGATCACAGTGGCTGACATGGCGTTCGAGCGGCAGTGCAGGGGTTCAGAGCAGGAGGCAACGGAGCTGAAGGGTCCTCTTTGTGAACCCTTCCCTTTCCCCCTTCCTCTCCCCCACTCCTCTCACTCAGATCACAGTTGCAGACATTGTGGTGTTCGAGCGGCAGTACAGGGGGTCGGGGCAGGAGGCAATGGAACTGAAGGTCCCCCATAGGACTCGTGCAATCCTCCCCCCTTCCTTCCCCCCCTCCCCCATTCCAGATCACAGTTGCCGACATTGTGGCATTCGAGCAGCAGTACAGGGGTTCAGAGCAGGAGGCGAAAGAATTGAAGGAGCTATACGAGCGATTCAAAGGGCGGATGGACATGTGAGTTGGGGGGAGAGGTAATACAGCAGAACAGGCAGTACAGGGGGTCGGAGCAGGAGGCCAAGGAGCTGAAGGAGCTGTATGAGTGGTTCAAAGGGCGGATGGACATGTGAGTTGGTGGGAGAATGAAGGGGCGAGATGTGTGTGTAAGGTACGGGAGCGGGTGTGGGAGGGGGTCGGAGCAGGAGGGCAAGGAAATGAAGGAGCTGTATGAACGATTCAAAGGGCGGATGGACATGTGAGTTGGGGGGAATGTGATAATGGTGATGAGAGTGATGGTCAGTGGGGAGGTGGACTCTCAAACACAGGGTCCTGGAGTTCCAGATCTGTGCACGGCCAGAGGTGGGTTTGCATCATGTCAAGGATATACTCGATGCTCTCTGCCATGCTCTGTCCCCCTTCCTTGTTTCTGATTCCTGTCTGCTTCACCACTCGCAGGGTGCTTCTGTGCACGGCCAGAGGTGGGTTTGCATCATGTCAAGGATATACTCGATGCTCTCTGCCATGCTCTGTCCCCCTTCCTTGTTTCTGATTCCTGTCTGCTTCACCACTCGCAGGGTGCTTCTGTGCACGGCCAGAGGTGGGTTTGCATCATGTCAAGGATATACTCGATGCTGCTATTGGGTTGCCCCCTTGTTCTCCCTTCCACACTCTGCCACCCTTCCTCCTTTCTTATTTCTCTCGCTGTCACTGCCCACATGGTGCTGGAGTTCCAGATCTGTGCACGGCCAGAGGTGGGTTTGCATCATGTCAAGGATATACTCGATGCTGCTATTGGGTTGCCCCCTTGTTCTCCCTTCCACACTCTGCCACCCTTCCTCCTTTCTTATTTCTCTCGCTGTCACTGCCCACATGGTGCTGGAGTTCCAGATCTGTGCACGGCCAGAGGTGGGTTTGCATCATGTCAAGGATATACTCGATGCTGCTATTGGGTTGCCCCCTTATTCTCTCTTCCACTCTTTCTCCTCCCTCCCTCCTTTTCTCGCTCTGTCACTGTTGCAGGGTCCTGGAGTGCCAAATCTGTGCACGGCCGGAGGTTGACTCGCACCGCTTCAAGGATATACTTGATGCTGCTATCGAATCAGGCGAGCTGAAGGCTACTAAGGCGTACAAGAGATGGGCTGCAGAAGTTGTCAAGAAACCTGCTCCTGCCGACCCTCTTGCTGCGGAGTAAGGATGCTTCAGAGATTGCCTCCCTCCTCTTCCTTTTGTTGATGCATGCACTCACACATGCACTCACACATGCACTCACACATGTTCTCACACATGTTCTCACACATGCACAGACATGAACACATGCATGCACTGCACACACAAACAGGCACTCACCCTTCTCCCTTCATCTTGTTGTTTCCATACCTTGATTCTAACTAGCAGCAAAGATGAGAGCAACCAGGAACTCATGTCACTAATTCGTTTTGGGACGTCTCAAAACACGTGCCCTCTCCCTCTTGTCGTTTCCATACCTTGATTCTAACTAGCAGCAAACATTATAGCAACCAGGAGCTCAAGCCGCAGAGGTCCCCTCACATGCACTCACTCTCCTCCTCCCTTCTCCCTTCATCTTGTTGTTTCCATACCTTGATTCTAACTAGCAGCAAATATGATAGCAACCAGGAGCTCTCATTCTCAACCGGCAATAAGCGAGGGCTCAAGCTGCAGAGAAATTGTTTGTCTTGTAGCCAGGCTCTTCCCTTCCCCCTGTCATTTCCCTTCCCTTCTCCCTGTCATTTCCCTTCCCTTCCTCCTGTCATTTCCCTTCCCTTTCCCCGACCCCAACAGCAGCGAATACGAGAGCAACCAGGGCCTGATGGCTCTCATTCTCAACCGCCAATCAGCAAGGGCTCAAGCTGCTGATTACCTGTTTGAGTCTCTGGCAGCCAAGTATGGAGGGAAGGGCGGGAAGCGAGGAGGGAAGGGAGGGGCCGGGAAGCGAGGGGGGAAGGGTGGGGGGAGGCTGAGGGGAGGGGAGGAGGAAGAGGATGAAGGGGAAGGTGGAGAGGAGGGAGAGGGAGGGGCAGTGGTAGCTGTTGGGAGAGTAAGGGGCAAAGGGAAGGGGAAGGGGAAGGGAGTGAATGGAAAAGAGGAGTGGAAAGAACCTACTGAGGAGGAGTTTCAAGCAGCGCGTGCACGCATTTTGAAGAAATGAGTTTTCTTGTTTTCCTTCTTACATTTGACTGATTGTGTCATGTTCTTCGGACTGAAGAGAGTGAAGTGGATCTTTATTGTGTCAGCGCTTCAGTAAGCAAAACAACTCTGTACAGTGTGTACTTTAAAAAGGTCCTCTTACCGGTACATCTTTCTATGATGCAGGCATGCACAAGCATATGCACAATCCATGGCTAGTTCCTGTAGACACATCTAAAACCACTCGTCTATCAGCCACACTGGATAGCCCTTTTCCCGAGGGTGATTCCTGTTCTTGTGCCAGTAACGGGAGTGACGGGAGAGCAAGTTCGTGTGGCTCGTCGATGATTTTTGGCTGCCCAGCTCCCAGTCCAAGCTGCCCGTCCGCATTCTTTCCCCAAACAAAGAGCAGACCTTCATCTGGGTGATGGATGAGATGGACAGAGTTGCAAGGGAGGGGTGGAGGGCAAGGGAGAAAGGGAGAAAGAAGTGGGAAAAAGTGTAGCTCGCATAATAAAATGAGGTGGATAGTGATAGAATTGGAACTGAACTGATTGCTTGATAAGGAAGGCACTAGGCCTTAAGTACAAACAGGGTTGGGTTGAGCAAAGCTAGGGAAAGGATGGGATGGGAATCCTAGCAAATCTCCAATTGGTGAGTTGGCAGATTTGCAGGATTACGAGGGAATCCCAACCAGATAGGGTTGGGATTACAAATCTACACCCAACCTACAAAGTAACATAACCGATATAGAATATAGTACAAAGTGTTGACTGACTATTTCTAACACACCCCCTAGGCTGACAACACTTCAGCCACATGGCGGCCCAACACCCATGGACGAGAGGAGGCGGTAGTGGTCTTGGCGAACAAGAGACTTGGTAAACAAGTCAGCAAGGTTGCAGTCGGAGGCAATGTGTTCAGCCTTCAGCTGCTCGCGCTGCACCAGCTCACGAAGAAAGTAGTGACGGACCTCAATGTGCTTGGTGCGGCCGTGGAAGACGGGGTCCTTTGTGAGATGAATGGTGCTCTCGTTGTCACACCAAAGCGTTGGGGCTGGTTGAGGATACCCAAGTTCTGCCAGCAAGAAGGAGAGCCAACGGGCCTCTTGGGAAGCCATGGTCCCGGCATACAGCTCTGCCTCACAGGTCGACAGAGAGACGGAAGACGACCGAGTGGAGCGCCAACTGACAACCCCACTGCCAAGGGTAAAGCAATATCCTTGGGAAGAGCGCCGATCACTCTGGTCATCAGCATAGGACGAGTCACTGTACCCCTCAAGGCGAACAGGGGAAGAGCCGCCAAGAGTGAGCACATAGTCCTGTGTGCCTTTGAGATAGCGGAGGACCCGCTTGGCGGCAGACCAGTGGTGGCTCGTGAAACGACCAGGTGCAACGTAGCGAGACAGGACACTGACTGGATAGGCCAAATCTGGTCGAGTGCACATCATCGCGTACATGAGGGAACCGACGAGCTCGGGGTAAGCCTCATCACAGGGCTCAGGTGAGGGAATAGAGGGTGCAGTGAGTTGGTGCTGCAGAGAGAGTGGGGTGGGCATTGAAGCTGCTTCCTGCATCTTAAACCTGGTCAAAACGTTGTTGATGTAGAACTTCTGCGAGAGGGTGATGGTGCGGGCCGTGCGATCACGTGTGATTTCCATGCCCAGATAGTTCGTCAGTTTCCCAAGATCCTTCATAGCCAGCTTCTCACCAAGTGCGGTTTTGACTGCTGCCAGCTCAGTCTGATCCTTGGTGACAAGGATCATGACATCGACATAAACCAAGATGAAGAAGCGGGATGATGTTGCTCGGATGAAGAGGCTGGGGTCAGAGGTGGATGGGTGAAAGTCGAGGGACCCTAAGGTGCTCTTGAGCTTGTTGTGCCATTCCCGGGGTGCTTGCTTGAGGCCATAGACTGGTCGATTCAGCTTCCATACAGTGCCTGGTGGAAAAGGAGCTGGAAATCCTTCGGGCCGCTCCATGTAGATTTCCTCTCGAAGGATCCATTGCAGAAACGCAGAGGACACATCCATGCAGTCAACCTCCATGTCATCTCGAGCGGCAACATCGAGAAGGGTGCGCAGTGTGGGAGGTTTGGCGGTGGGAGAGAATGTCTCAAAGAAGTCCAGTCCATGCTTTTGGGTAAATCCCTTGGCACAGTACCGGGCTTTGAAGACGGGAAATTCGCCTGGAAGTTGTTTCACCCGGAAAACCCATTTTCCCTTCACAATGTTGACGCCGGAGGGAGGAGAGACATCTGTGAAAGTTCATGTGTGAATGAAGGCCTCACACTCTGCGACAATGGCCCCTAGCCATTGAGCGGCGTGAGGACCAGAAACTGCTTCAGCATAGGTGAGAGGTGTGGGGATGGAGGGGTTGTCCGAGAAGTCGAGGGTGGGAGATTCTGCGATATCTGGAAAGAGGGAGCAGAGTGCGTGTATGGCTGAGTCAATCTCAATCAACTCCTCATGTCTGTCCTCAAGAAGGGAGGGCATGAGCGAATAATCACCCCCGACAGGAGGAGGATTGAGAGAGACACGAATGGAAAGGGAAAGAGGCTTGGGAGCTTTGCGCGAGCGGGTGCGACCAGCGATGGGGGAGGGAGGCGGAGCTGGAGGGGGAGAAGCAGTAGGTGTAGTGGCAGCATCAGGAACAGCAGCTGGATCAGGAGCAGGAGCTGGATCAGGAGGAGGAGCTGGATCAGGAGGAGGAGCAGCAGCAGGAGGACGGCGTTGGTAGGTTTTGAGAGGAATGGGCTCGGGGGCGGGAAGGAGCGGGGGAGACTGCGTGGTGCTGGAAGGGGAAGCGGGTGACGGGGGGTCGGAAACTGTGGAGGGAGCAGGAAGAGGAGGAGATGGAGTGGTGGCAGGAGGAAGGCTGTCAAAGTCAGCCCAAGTAAGAGAAGGAGGCGGAGGAGAAGGAGAAACTGTAGAGGACGGGTAGAACGGGTGGGATTCATCGAAGAAAACATCTCGGCTGCGATAAAGTTTGTTGGTGGTAGGATGGAGGAAGAGGTAGTCTGGCGAGTCCGAGTTGTGCCCGAGGTACACGCACGTGATTGTTTTCGGAGCAAGCTTGCCGCCAGCTGCACGACGGGCTTGGGAGTTGAGGAGAACATAGGAAGTGCACCCCAATACACGAAGAGGGCGGACGGACGGCTTTTGACCCGTCCACAGCTCTGCGGGGGTGGTGTGGGTGTGGTGAGGATGAGGATGGAGATTGTGGAGGGCGGCAGCATGGAGCATGGCGTATCCCCAAAGAGAGGGAGGGGCGGAAGCATGAGTGAGGAGGCAGCGAGCAATCTGCACCAGGATGCGGTTTCGGCTCTCAGCAACACCGTTCTGTTGAGGGCTGTCTGGGAGGGTGAAGGTCTGACGAATACCCTCAGTAGAGCAGAAAGTTTTGAGAGTGTTGTTGCGGAATTCACCGCCACCGTCAGAGTGAAGAATCTTGATTTTGATTTTGAAGTGTGAATGAGCCTGCCTTGCCCATTCCATGATAATGGCTGGGGCTTCAGACTTGGCGGTGAGAAGGTGAACGGACACATAGCGGGAATAGTCATCAACGATGACAAGGAAGTAGAAGTGTCCGCCACGGGAACGAACAGGAGCTGGACCCCAAAGGTCCATGTGTACGCGATCAAGAGGTGCGGTAGAGGTGGACTCAGTGGGAGGATGGGGCTGTTCCCGAAGCTTGCTCTGTGCACAGTCAAGGCAAGGTGGTCCAGAAAGAGAGGGGGGTTGTGGAAGTGAGGCGGGCAGCCCATGAAGGAGTTGTTTGGTGGCAAGGTCTGAAAGTGCGCGGAAGTTGATGTGGCCGAGGCGGTTATGAAATAGCATAGTCTTGTCATTGAGGAGGCGACAGTGACATGAGGGGGAGTCTGAGGATGGAAGCGGAAGGTTGGTGAGGGAGCATGTTTGAACGGGAGGTACAACTAGTGTGTACAGGTTGTTGGAGTTGAGGGTGAAGCGGGCAAGATGGAGTCCGGTTTTGGCGTCAAACATGTCACAGTAGTCAACATCATTGGGAAAGATGGTGATCACGCCTG